CCTGGACCCCCAAAACGCAACTGTCAATCAAGGTGGGGGGCCCCTGACTAGACGGGGCCTGATCCACAATTTACTAGGTTACCTTATGTTCACTCATGAAGAAATAAAAAGGAAAAAGAGCAGGAGCTTCCTTGGGGCCGGATGATGTAGCATATTTCTAAAAATACCTGCATGGACAGAGACAAAGGCATATGTACACTCAACAATCACCAAAAATCAGATGCAGATAAAGAAAAGTAGAAACAGGCTGACAGGAAGACATAATCAAGACAAAAAGCAGTAGACAAAAGGGGCTTCAACTCAACATCAGTAAGCTATACAGTAAGATGTACATGACATCGTCAAGAATCACTGTATGCCAAAGTTTTTTCTTTTTGTAGCAAATGAAGAAAAACATTTTTTCCTGCAATTTACATTCTTTTCATCACTTTCCAAGCGCACACAGCCCAAGAACCACCACATATAAATCTTAAGACATACACTGTCATTGACTGTATACAAAACAAAACCATTTAAATTAGGTATTATATTTTCAGCTTTCCCAGGACATGGAGACACCATACATATCTCAGTTCAGCCCTCTTAATTCCATACCATCACTGGTTGAGTATGTATGGTAGGTGGGCCATTCCCTACATTGTCTTAGTCAGTGTTTGAGCTTCTTACTATGGATTAAATATTAACCTTGAAGACATGGCTAAGGTAAACTCCCATCTACAGACATACTGTAGACTCCCAAGCAAACAACATATAATTTGACTGACTCAAATTACAACATCTGCTTTATGTTCTTGTTGCATTTAACCCTACAATATATGTTTGCTGTTACCATAATGTAAAATGGCACTGGGGGGTTGCACGTTTTCTATAAATGTCTTGTTCTAGCTTTTTTGTCTACTACTGTGAAGTAACCTCTATTACACAACTATAACAAAGCACGTTGTTAGTTTATGCAGCTGCATCATCCAACCAGAGCTTTCCCCATTCTCGTCATGGGTTCATCATGCTCCTATTCATTCAGTCAATCTCTGTCAGGAACAGGCAGAAAACTGCTAGCTCCTTCCCTACAGTAAACCGCACCTAGTTGGTTCAGTCCCGCAATAATAGCGCTGGGTGCAGATTAGCTGCCTATGACTGTGTGACACAGCAGCGGGAGGTGGAGGTCAGAGGGGCTCCATGTAAACGGGAAACACAAAAGACTCTGCCGCTGATGCCATCCGGATGTCATGTTACAAGGGCACAATGGGGCTGAAACACCAAGCGGAGAGGAGAAAAAGCTCAGGATTGGTATTCTACTCATGGAAGGTGGAGGGATGTGGTGGGGAAGGGAGTGGGGGAGGACATTAAAAAAAACAAAACAGGGAAGAGCTGGACACTGCCCCTACATGCCCGCCCCGATTGTGGACAACTGAATAAATCAGGATTGCTGAAGGCCAAGTACTGCCTCAACAGTCACTCCAGGAAAAAAAGGATGCTTGAAAAAAAAAGAAAAAGAAAATTCAAACTCACCTTGAATGGTGAAAAGAGAAGCACTAACAATGACACATAACATACTTTCATCATCTGATAATTCTGATTTTGGGTGAAATGACACATTGGTAATAATACCAATGTATCATGATGGATACCAGGACATGATGGATACTGGGCCGATGAAGCATGCAGCACCCCTCCCAACAACTCCCCCCAGTCTCCAATATAATTCACTGGTGGCCATGCTTCACAGAACTGCTATCCAATCACTATCAGACCTTCTAGCAGCAACTGAAAGGTTGAAAAGTACAGCTGAAAGGCATTTTTGTTTACATAAAATGTCTAATGTAATGAGATTTCTTATATGAATAAATACACACCTCTTCAGGTCTTCAGGCTCATGATACTGTTAAGATAAGTATTTCAAGATAACAATGGACAATGGAAATACTATACAAATACACTTTCTCATATTCTTCTTGTTATTCTTGATTTATATGAACTGTTGTACAGAGAATCCTACACATTTCCTATTATGTCCCATTTACTGCATTAAAATCCATAGGCCAGACACCACAAGAGCCTGTGTTAGCATTCACAATAGGCTTAGTCCTTTGTAATCTACCTGTGCTCAAATTCCAGCAGCTTACTGCTTGAAAGCATTTGTAAAGCAAGTAGACCAATGATGAATACATGCAAATAATAGCACATCTACCTACACAGTATGTGCAGTCAACCCCACACAATAAGCTGAATGTAAAGCTCTTTTAAATGACAAACTCGACTAAGACTCTTGTTCAAGAGCACTATGTTCTAAAACTACATCAACATGTCCAAGAGCGAGACCAAAAAGCCAGTGGCCAGAAGTTATGCAAGTAATTAGAAAATAACCCTAATTTAAGGTTTGGGAATACTGTCTGGCAAAAACTGGACAATAAACAAGTTGTCTCTTGCCACTCAACGCAATAAGTTTCCAAAGGAGGGGGTGAAAAAGTAGGGAAAATACGGGGAAAAAAAGGTAAAGTCAGTGTAAACCAATACTTAATACCTTCTCCATGACAATTTCATTAAATAGTACAAAGAGTTCAGGCAACTAGCACGCAAACACAAAGACTGTACATTTGGTGCTAAAAGCAGGCTGCCATCCATCGCCCTGGCTTAGGACAAAGCTTAAACCCAGTGATACTACATGCTGAGGTCATTCTGACATTCATTTTCATGAATTCCCTAATGGCCTCCGCTCTAGATTCTCAGCTCTCCGGTGGCCGCAGCAAATTAGTGCGTGAGGGCTCTCAGTGTCAGCGCATAAGAAAGAGGCTGCTCCTGTCTAAAAGGCAGTGTGAGTTTCAGGTTTTGGTTACACCAGAGGGAGACGCGGGGATAAGGAGCACAGAGAGGAGGTTGTTACTGGTAGTTTTGCTCTGGGGACACAAACAGAAGGAAGGAAATATTGCCCATACCAGTAACGTGGAGCATTCCCTACTTCAGCTCAACAAGACGGCCTAGTCAGCAGTGAACCCATGTGCTGTGCAAGCCAGTAAATCTCAGTTCTGTAGACCTACTTTTAAACGCACATAGCTGTTCTCCTTAACATTTGCTGACCACTGCTCACCCATGGTATCCTAAAACACACAGGTCATTGTATGGAATTGAGCAGGTGGCATAAAGCAAACCTGCTCTTGCCTGTCAGTCAAGTAGCTCGAGAAGTAGAGGGGGTGTAATACAACTGCAAGGCTGGGTGTGTGTGTGCGTGTGCTGCAATGCCTAAAAACTTCTGTCTGCCTCAACACTCATGCCTCATAGCCTACACATAAGAGTGTGTGTGTGTGTGTGTGTGTGTGTGTGTGGGGGGGGGGGGGGCAGAAACTTGCTCAAACAAGCACTGTTGCTAGCTAGCAGACGTAACAAAATGCCTTCAGCAACAGGCCAAAATAACAAGGGAAATGTAGCTTGAAAAGAACAAGCTATAGCCTCCTTGTTGATGTGTATTCACATATTGCAGCCACATGCAGTTTAAAATGTATGGGCTAGTGACATTTTAACCCTAAATTGGTGGTATGAGGCAGGATGCATTATGAAATGCAGAGTCATGTCTATATTTGTACAAATAGCTCTAAATACAGTAGGTCTTCAGTTTAATAAAAAACTTAAAAGATCAAACTACTTAGACTTTCAAACTCTCCCTTTTTAAACATTATGTTGACCCTGTTGGGACATCTTGGTTTGTTTTGACCAGCCCAGTTCTAGCCCCATATTTGACTAAGCTTTACTGCCATCCCATCAGCTGTTCTAAGTCCCTCCCTCTTGTGGTTTCCGGCTAGTAACAGGCTACCCAATCATTAAGCTGGTTTCCACTGTGCTGGGACAAAAACAAAACTACTTGTTCACACTGTTCCTCTAGAACACAGTATGGACGGGAAATGTGTTGCTATGGTTTATTTTTAGAGTCAATCTGTCATCCCTAAGTTAACTGGAACATATAAATTAGCAGTATAAAAGAAAAGATGGTGACAACAACTTGAAATCAGAGCACACTAGATGTTGCCTAAAAGTTCAAGCATTCCACAGTGAAAACGACCACAGGCTCGTGACACCTGCTGTATCACTTAACAAAACAGCTGCCATACTCACTTCCATTTCCAATATTTGTAAAATAACAAATTATAACCACTGTAAAAAATTATACAAGTTAGCCTTCCACATGTTTGCCTGCAGACACTGAAGTACAGTGAGACACACAGATCAGGTGGCCATTTTGATGTTGAAATTAACCAGCAGACTAGCAAGCCAGCTCAGCAGCGTTACAAGGTAACATTTCAAGTGGCAGATGTAATAACACAATCTCAAAACCCTTGGTAGGGTTACAAAGCAAAGCTAGTTAGACCCAGGATGATTCTTGCTGAAATAACGCCAACGTTTTTTACGAGAGTAGAACAAAAGACAACAGCATTTACATTTGACGGTAGCCTTACGTTATGTAAACAAGCTCCTGTGTCAACGTGTAAAGGGGCAGTTTGACTTCACTCCCCTAACAAACAACAGGCTGGACAAAGAAACCAAATCGCCATAAGGTGTTTTATATAGTCTACCGCTGCCAGATCTATTGGTGGTGCAACAAGATGAAAGACATTCCTGTAAAGGAAGAACAACGTTAGCGTCTGTTCGGCTGTTGCAGTAATTTTCAAATATAGACAACAAGCGAGACAGCTAACGTTAATGTTACAAAATGCTGTGCTGGAAAAATGCTGAAAGGACATGGGACCGATCTGATTAGCTAATACAGCTGTCCCGATGAGCGACTGAAGGTTCGCAGGACAGAAATAGCTAACACTTGGCTTTGCTAGCAAAATGTTGTTTACACAAAAACACCAGTCATTCACAATGAAAGCCCCATCTTCTTTGGATTAGTAAGACAAACAAGCAGCATCAATAAAAAGGGTTTGCACATATCATATTTCTACATACACCAGGACATAGCTGACTAGACAGCGACTGAGAAGACAGTTGTTTATGTTCAGAAAGGATACAGTTTCACCACATCGGTATCCATTCGCCTTTTACCCGGACTTGGAGACGACATTTTTGCTATTTCCACCGCAGAACACCAGTGAGTAAACTGAAAGCTAGCCCCCGAAACGCTAGACAGCCTAGCAAACGGTACTATCCGAAAGTTAACATTTGCTTTCAGAAATGTTCACAGCAAAACGTCTTCACAGTTCAATGTCTCCCTGTCCTAATGAGTAGCTGAGCTAACGTTAGACCTCTGCTGTTCACTGCCTCTCAGCGTTCTGACCATGGTTCTGACAAGCTAGGATCCCTCCGCGGACAACGTCATACATGTGCGACGAAACGTCACTATAAATTGTAATTTTGTAGTTTTATTTAGAACACCTTTGCATTTCTAGCTTAAATTTCATATTGAACTACCAGTTGACATCGTTTACATTGATGTTTTCTATTTAGGGGCTTAAATATAATAAAGAAATATCAAAACATAGAAGAAACATTAATATTAAGACAGTCTCTTCAGAGGTGTCTCCCTCATTGCTGTGGCACTGGCTTTGTCTTGGTTTTGTCTGTCTTCTATGTTCTACAGTAGATAAAGTTATAGACCGATGTTGATTGTCATTATATGTACCCCAAAATGTCTGGCACCAGCTGACAGTGCTTTGAAGAACAGATTCGCTCAATTTTGTACTGTAGGGGAACTTTTGCTGCATATATCCTTATTTTGTGGGGGTGGGACAAGTATTAAATCAACTCATTGTTTTTCCTGTCAAATGGCCAGATCAGACTAAAGTTATTTTGAAATATACAGGATACAAATGATATCTACTCATGAGAATGTTTTCAAGAACACAGTGATGTCTAAAAATATACTATTGCCCCCAAGGACCACCTCATACCTGCTTTGATAATAGGAATGTTTTTCCTGTGTCCTCACAAACGATCAAGTCATATGGCTGTCTTTCAATGACATCAACCAGTAATAATCATTTATATAAAACAGAGTTATAACAAACATACTGTACATTGTTTGCAAAGCTGTCAAACCTGCCAAAGAGGTTAAGATGTGTGCAAGAAACAAAATGGCTGCCAGTGAGTGATGAAAGGCAACACACCAGAGAAATGGAACACATGAGCTGATTCCGAAAGCCCTTCACAAGTCAATGTCTGAGATGCAATAGTGGGACCAGCTAAAATATTTGCAAGAACCATACCTGAATGCATTTTCCTTTTATAAACAATATAACAACTATGTAGAATGTGATAATTAGTTAATTATAATTTAGCTTTATTTTTTGAGTGTTTTATGTCAGAGGAATGACATGCAAAGTGAAACAAACTTTGAGAAGATCATTTTTTATTAAACCCTTGTAGGAAATTCTACGAAGATAAAAGTACATGCAGAATAGTGAAAACTGCACTAGCAATGAGATGTCACAGGAAGGCAAAAAGTAAATACAGGCATCCTGAATATCTATTCTAAAACAGGTTTGAAGTTCATGGCACGTGGTTCTACCTGCCTGCAATAATCAGGATTTTACCACTGACTAACAAACATTTCACCACACAAAAAAGGATTTTGTCCATTTCAAATAGAACTCATAGCCACATTGCTTTTCAAGCAAAACAGTACACACACGAAAAGGACTTCCTCACAGTTTTTTGCTAATCTGAGGTTAATGTTTACCACTCACACAAATGACTCAACATACAGTGAAGGTAAACACTACCTTTCCAGTGTCGAGCCATTTGCCCTTTCTTACGATCAAGGATTCCTTGTCTCTTGTATTCCACAGAAATCCAGACCATCATGATGTCATGAAGCAGGCTTCATGTGAGGTTAATAGTAGATACCTTGCTTGTGGCCAATTTACATACTGAGACATGTTCTATTACTACTTAAGTATACACATGATGGAAGGCCTATATAGGCCCCAATAGTTGCACATCCCAATTTTTATGTAGCAGAATTCAGATGTTTTAGAGCCACACATAGGCATCCTTCACATATTTCACTGTTCACAGAGAAGACACTAAATCATTTGCGTGAAGACACAATCAACTTTCTTTCCCTCCAGAAACACTTGGACTGTAAACATGACTTTAAGGGATGGCATACATTGATTATGATATGACACTGCGGTCATTGGTACTACTGATGCTGTACCGCAAAAATAGGGCAGGTCAGTTCACCGCTTCAGTGCTGCGATGCCGTTTGGTTGGAAACAGTCTGCTGAGATGGAGAGGAGGAAACCTGCCACTGACGGAAAATAGCAAACACCCTTTTGGACTTGTCATGAGGGCCCTGCAAGGAGAGAGAGAAAAGAGAAATGCCAGATATCGTTTATTAGAAAGTTGTATGGACAACAAAACTGACATTAGGATGAGAAACAAGGTTTTTAAATAGGTCTAAATACACAAGCTTGAATATGTATTTGGCTCACAGCATTTTTAGGAAGATACAATGTGATTTTTCATGTATGATGAATCATTGTTATGAAACATAAAACACCAGAAACTTTGACTTGCCTGTGCTGGACTGTCTCCCGCTGTATCAGAGTTCTTCTTCATGGGCATGAGGAGGTCGAGAGCTGCCTTCCAGCCCTGCTGATGAGGTGTTGAGCCTCCACCCGCAGCGGGGACGGCTCCTGGATCCACATTCTCTTTTCCCACAGAGATCCAGGGACACCAGTCTCTGTGTTGAGCAAGAGGGTCAAACACATTCTTGTGCAGGAGCCCATCCTGAAATAACAGGGAGGTAGGTCAAAAAAGAGGTTTGCAATAGCAAACCCAAAGTAATGCAAAACCCTCTTTCAAATTTAACTAGGATTAGGATCTAAGTTTCACTGTCTTGCCTTTAATTATATAATGGATAAAATACTTTTTACATTTTCACTCAAAATTGATTGAGACTACAATTTTCTCTCATAGTTTTAGGGATGCAATGTTTTGTTAAAGATATAGATTTGTGTTATGTGGTAGCGCTTATGAGAGCAAATCTCCTTGCTAATGTAAGTAATGCAAAATCTCTCATGCAATAATGAGATTGCATAGAGGTACAAACTGAAATTGTGATTCCAATATGATAATTGTGCAGCTCCATCTTAAATGCAAGACTCTCACAACACAGTCTTAGTGAACAGGCAGCACTGCATTATTAACCATTACTGTAAACTGCCACACATGGAGCCTGTGCCATAATAAAACTGCAAACATCTAGCTATGAAATTAGCAGTAATGTTAGTTCTTACAGGACCACCAATTGATGAGAGGCACAAGCGTTTGGGAGGGTGTTGCAGGCTGGCAGCGCCATCAGCCCCAGAGTTGTCCCCCTGTCCTCTGCTGCGAGTTGCAGGCCTCTTGCCCCTGGTCAAGGGACTAGGCAACTCTTCACTGGGGCTTGGTGAGTCTCTGCTTCGGGCTCGCAAGGCCACAGGGGAGGAGGTTCCCTCACCCTGTAACATACATCAGAATATGGTGAAAAAGCAGCCTGGCATGATTTCATTTGTCATTAATGCAAATGGAACAAGCATTTCTATTTCAAATTAATATGTGCATATAAGGATTTGCATAAAACTTGCCTGGTCTAAGCGGGTGGAGTCCTGACTCCGCAGCTTCATGCGACATGGAGTTGCAGGGCTGGGTGAGGCAGATGTAGAATGGTCTCCCTGACCCTCATGCGAGGCTGCTGAGACAGGACCCACTGCTTGAGTAGATTGGCCTACAGTGTTTGTTGAGGCATCTCCATCAACCCCCATTCCCTCCATTTGGTGGAAGTTCCACAAGCCCACCTTGCGCATACAGTAGGAGCAGGTGAGGATGGGCAGGTTCATGGCGTGCAGAGCTGGGCTAAGATAGACAAATTCATGGCTCAGATATCTTGATCAGGTGGAGGAGTGCTAACAAAGTTTGTGCCATGTTTCTCCCAGTTTCACATACTGCCTCCCACACTATATTCCTTGTATTTTCTTCCATACAGCTAGTAAATCACTGAAGATACATTTGATATTGGAAAGTGTGTATGCTTACTCTTGTTTACAGCAACATCAATTTGTGTGCACTACAAGGAGTCTGGTGTTTCATCTCACCTTGCCGCCCAGCCACAGAGAGAAACAATGCATGCAGCCACCTGGACAGCCAAAGGTTCAGAACATGGAGTCCCCCCCTTTCTTTTTTGTTCTTCCTCGATCAGATGCAGTATAACACTGATAACATCTTCATTCAAAGACTGCAAGGAAACAGTGGACATTAATTGCATGTGGTCAACTTAAAACCTTATGTTTTCTGATGGCTAAATACATAAAGTTCACATTTTACTTTCAGATTCTTCATGATCTGACCGACAATTATGTAATCAGATCCACTCTTTTAAACTCTTTCTGTAACATGAACAATGTTCATAATGTTTAAAAGGGTGTGTTGTCGATATACAAAAAGGCTGACACCCTTGCCTCACCATAGATTTCAGCTGCTCTGGTTTCATGGCTGGCAGCTGCTGTGCAAGGTGACAGGCGCTCTGGAAGCGTTCTAAGAAGGCAGTGAGAAGTGTTGATGGTTCACAGGCTGGAACCAGCCAGAACCTCTCTGAAATAAAAGCAATATTCACAATGACCATCATGTGGATAACTCAGGTTTAATTCAGCTACAATGACATGGTCATGTTAAAGATTATTTTTCTTATGTAAATGCTGCAAAAAATGGTTGCTCTTACCTGGACAAGGAAAGTCAGGCCAAGTACAAAACTTCTCATGCTGCGTCTGAAGCTGCCTCGATATCTCTGCAATGCGGGATTCATCTATTTAAAAGAAGAGAGTTGCTTGACCTTTAATTTCTGGCAGACAGGCAACATCAGCCTAACCTTGCCAAAATAAAGTGTGCCCTGGCTCTGACATTGTCTTCTTCTGTTACTTCAAGTTTTGCTTACATTTTTCAAAGTCTAAAGTTGGTTGTAGTGATGCACAAAGGAAAGCCTGGCAGCTGGAGCACTTGAGCATATCGCAACCAACGTTGATCCAGCCATATCTGGCACACATCAGAGGGGACAGTGTGCGGGGTTTGCCTGCCCATTTCAAACAGTGCTCTGCTAAGGAAAATTTTACTCAGACACAAAACAAGTATTGTCACATTCATTATAACTCCAAATGAATCTATGCAATTTCCACATTAATTATTTAAGTTACATATTAACAAGTGCTGTTTTTTTTTTTATTAGTGATCACATGGTTGTGTAAAAACAGATGCCTCATACTGGGTCAGAATTTTCAAAATGAATAAAGGATATTGAATAGGATTCCACTCTTGAGAAAAATGCCTCTTTGTTCGTTGCCTCGCAGGGTGCCTGAGTGTTGCTTTTTACTTCCAGAACATTCAACTCTCCTTGTCCACTGTAAACCACATAAAGATAAGAGACAGGACAGATCTTTAGCTTCCACACACTTGCTTATTATCTAATTGATATAAATTCCTAGAATTTATGTGCACCATACATTGTAAAATTCCTAATTTCTTCTTATAAACTTTCTCAGCCACACAGGAATGGTTGGTGCAGGGCTGCACATAACTGCACAGCTTTTCATCTCAGTGAAACTTGCGTAACAACAGAAAAAATGAAGCGCTGCTCTATCGCTGTTTATCATGATCTGCCTCTTGTATTGATGCACAGAAGAAAGACTAGCAGAATTTATTTAGCCTAGCATTGATGGCTGTGCGACAAGTGGCCAATACTCCAGAACTTAATGGCAAAGTACCATGTTAGTGTCCAACTTTCAGTCCCCACCCCCCTTATCAGTAACTGTGCACAGGAGTGATTAGACGACGACTACCATAGCAAAGCTGTTCGGTGGATGGACAAAATAACAAGCGCAATAAAAAAAAATCCAGCAGTGTGCAAGCTCCCATTCCTGGCCTGCATGCTTCCAAATTTGTGGAGACTTGTCCCTCCTCCTCCTACACTGAGTGAAGGCGGCTAAAGTAGCAGCGCTGCCGGGCTAAGTGGCTAACCAAACTAGCTAATGTCAACTTGTACTTTAAATCAAACAAATATCGCGCGATTGTTCGGAAACTGCACCTGATGGATCCGATGTTTGCCGATGATACACCCTCATTTAGAATTTCACGAACTTTCTCCGGAGAAGCAAGGGAAGACTTTTGAAGATTAGTGTTGCCGAGACGATCCCCACGACTGCCGCTGAGAGTCGCCATGATCGGCTCTGACGTCCGCCGGAAAATAAGCTCTGAAACCAATGGTTCCGCTTTGTAAGACCCCTGACCACATCACGGTGCTGAAACCTCTAAACCTGTTTGGCCTCTTCTACTTCAACTAATTTCATTTTTAAAGGTGTTCTATACGTGGAAAGAGAGATCTTCACCTTAAAAATGGGGCAGCTAATTTTAATGGGTTAAGTTCTTGACTGTTTTTTGGTTGCATTATTTAAAGCAGGATTCGATTTAATAGATTTTTTTCTTTTATACAGATTAAAATACCTCCCTTGACAGACTGGCTTACTTTATTTGCATGCACATTTTAGTGGTGCATTTGACTGATTTTGATTCTCCTACTAGCAAGATCATATATGTCACTTAAAAGCACTTTAATTATACTGATACGCTGGAAGAATTATTCAAATCCTTTAAGTAAAAGTATCAGTACCATAATGTAAAAAATAGTAAAATTTTAATTAGTACATATGAATTTTAATAAATTCATCACTAATGCATTATGTGTAAGCATCTTTATGTTGTGGTTCGGTTGAAGTGGAGCTAATCTAAACTACATGCTCTTTGATAGTTTAACAATAACAATCCACTGATGGAGTGGAGTAAAAAGTACACAATTACCCACTTAAATGTAACAAAGGCTATACATTTCAGGAAGAATAAAATGAATAATACTCAAGAGAAGTACAAAATGTATATTAGTACAGTTACAAGTAAATGTACTCAGCAGAATCAGATTAATCGTCTAAGAAGGCAAAAATTAGTCATGGTCCCCTAGTTTTGTCTTTCTTCCTACTCTTAGTACATTGTGAATGTAATGTAGGTCTATTTGGCCTATATCTAATATTGTAGGTGTCACTGTAAGGCCCCATAATTTCAGTTTATATTGTGATTAAGTGGGGCAAACAGCATTGCAATTAATCAAATTATTTCAAACAAATTGCCACACTGCCTTTGGATCACCTATCAGTGTGATCCAACACATTTCACCACTGCTGGTATCTCATCCTGAGAGTAGTCTCAAAGCCAAAGAGGAACACTATCCTGTAGAGGGCACTGTGTACACAACAACAACTACCATAATTAATTTTAAAAGGGTAGTCTTTTGTGACATGTATTGTATTCTTTATAGCTTGACATACCTGACAAACCATAATGAAGGGAGATAAAATGTATAGAAAATATAACTGAACAATTGTATTTAAAAAGGTACAAAAAAGTGATTTCTTTTAAATACTCAGGAAAGTTTAGTTCAGTTTCAGAGTTTGGTTGGTGGCTATAATCCATCATTTTTGAAATGTGTAGGATTCTGTTGGTGTAATTGGACTCATGACCTCACAGTGACATTTCTAAATTCAGGATATGGCCATGTGAGTAATAGCAGTTCATTGTGTGACATATGGCCTCTCTCTTTCACCCCATAAGTCATCTCCAGACCCTGTAGGTCTCTGGACCACACTAAAGCAGAAAAAAACCTGTTGTTGTTTTGGAGACGACACGCGCAGTCCCGCCCATCTCTGTTGACGCAACGTCCTAATAACAAGCCCTCTGATTGGCCAAGTGTCTGATGGCCGGGGGGTAGCATTTGTGAATGGTTTCAAACTGAGTGAGATGTGAAATGATTTATGATGTTTTATCAGCACTTTAGCAGATGTTTTTTTTATTCGATGTGACATTCTTCAGGACTGGATTGTAAAGGGGAAACGATGTCGGACGCTGAAGGTGCTCGCAGTCCAGACCAGCTGAATAAATTCAAGAAACTGACCGGCAGGCCGCCGCACGGTGAAACGTTAGCAGGTCGGTCAACAACATTAGCAAGACATGCTAACGACAGGTTTTAACTTAATGTTGGCACATTTTGCCAGTCAGATGGACACCGTGTCATTGAGATTGGCAGCTTCATACAGAGTATTAATGTTGCACGTTAAGAATGCAAATGTTGCCCTTCCTGGTGACATTGCTAAGCATTACGTTCAAGCTAGCAACATCCAGCAATTGTGCTTGTTTATCTTTGAGCTTGTTAGCAATCACCTCAGCTAGCTAACATGCATTATAACATGAGGAGAATCATATCGTTTATGATTCATTTTAACCTTTTGTGTCTAAATTCTGTCTTTCAGCTGTACAAGCAACTTAGTATATGGCGTGACACCACACCATCATTGATTACCAGGTGTTACTGACCTGAAAACACATTGACAGCTATTTCAAGGCTGTGTTTTTGGAAGAGATTCACAGGGCTGCTAACTACATCATTGTCTTTGAATTTACTTTCTTGGTCGTAGGAAAATAAAGATTGTAGTTTGATAGGGCAGTTGTCAGACCTGTCATTGCTAGATGACTTAAAATGCATTCAGGTACAAGTTCACATTCTCAAACAGTTCATGGACTGGTCAGGAATGTTGTCAGTGCTGGGTGTGTTTGCTGTGTCTCTACTCGCCAGTTACTCTGGGGATGGGCACCAAGTATTGATAACCATTATGTGAAAAACATAATACTCAAAAGAAAGGCATAATTGACATGATCCACCATGTTGTGATAAAGCCAGGATGCATTGACTCCTCTCTAATAGTTAACTTTTTCCATTTGGCTGTCGGTAAATCTACAGTACACATCCTGGGTCTGGTCTTTTTTATGTTTTCTTTTTTGTGTGTCACAGAGACAGTCTGACAGTTGGCAAGGTCAGTCACACCAGGGGCTCAGCAATGTATAGTACACAGTCCAACTCTGGTCACTCTGACTGATAAAGCTGCAAAGAAATATGACACAGTTGACTAATATTAATTTTAGACAACTGCATAAAAGATTTATTTACGTATTTTGTGATATCATTCATTTTCAGAACTATGCACTTAACATACTGCACATAATGCTTTTATGTTTTTGCTTGCCACTTAGCTGACACCTTAATTAACCCTGCTCTGACATTTTTTAATGCACTGGACATTTGTAACAAGCCTAAAAAGAAAACAGAGGCCAGTTCTTATAAAAAAAAAAACCCTACCACTCTTTGCAAGTTTTGACAGTTCTTTTATTACAGCACAGTAGAAATAACTAGTTGTAATAGATTTTGGTGACAGAAAGATATGTGGCCTAAGGAAGCCCCTTTTCACACTGTTTGTGCTTTTACAGCCATTCCTCTGTTTCCAGTCAGCATTTTGAACATTCAGGTCTCACATGTCAGAAGTAAATTATGTAATATGTGGCCTTGATAGAAGCACCTGGACAGAAGTGTCTTAATGAATTGTGTTCTGCTTTGATTATGAACGATTTGAATAGGTAATTGTGTCAAAAAAAGAATTTAATTGAGACAATAATATAAAACATTACAGCCAAAGTAATTATTTGTGTTACTACTAACATTAGATTTGTATCAGTGTGGATGTTTGGTCTTGTCACTTCTCCTACATTCCTCTGCCCCGTAAGCCTTCTTTCACAATCGTTATAAATCCTGATTATTAAAAATGCATTTGCTGGCTGAAACATCAGAGCTGAGTTGTAGTTAGGCCTCAGTGCTATTCTTAGTACATTAAACAGAGGCCCATTATTAGACTTCTTTTGCTCTGTATTCTGTCATCATGCCCCTGCTGATAGAAACCTGCTAAAGTTTCAAATAGTGATGTTTTATTTTCTGCTGTTTGCATAGCATTCCTCAGAAGGCCAAAACAGTGAGCCTTGCATATAATGTTGTGAATAAAGAATCTAAATGATGAGAATCATGGAGTTGCCTGATTTCTGTATTTAAACTACAGAGCTGTATGATATGAATAGACTTATTTCTCTGTTAACTTTAGTGTTAGAGTGATACTTGAGATTTTCTCATTGTTGTAAATGTGACCATGGATGAGTTTTTGTTTGTCTTAGCTGTGTGATTGACTGGTGACCCAGAGCCAAATGTTAACCCTGTGAATGAGTATGCTGTCCTGCTTTCTGTTAGGTCATGCTAGAATAGCTTGGTCAGCTTTGGGTTCTAATGTTCTGAGAAGCCTTTAACTGGATGAACATGTGTTTTATTTGAATGATCAGTCAAATTTCCATAGTAAACCAAACAAGAAACTTCAGTTGACCTTATTTTGTATTTTGACTCACTTGTATTGGCAGCTTATTTTTTTGTGTTCGAAGTGATAAAAGTTTATCTCGTACCTCTGTTAACATGCTCCTCCTCCTTTTTATCCTATGAAACTCCAGGTCATCGTAATCCCCCTGCCCGCAGTGGTCATCGCTGTGTTGCAGACAACACTAACTTGTATGTATTTGGAGGATACAATCCTGACTACGATGAGTCAGGAGGCTCAGACAATGAAGATTATCCACTGTTCAGGGAGCTGTGGAGGTACCACTTTGCCACAGGCTGCTGGCAGCAGATTCGAACAGAAGGCTACATGCCCACCGAGTTGGCGTCTATGTCAGGTGAAACATTCTATATCTATTAGCTTTCAATACTTATTAGTAGACACGCACTTGCACTTCATCAGTAAGTTATGTTTTCTGTTAAAACATCAAATTTGATGTTCCTATGTTCCTTCAGCTGTTTTGCATGGCAACAACCTCCTGGTGTTTGGAGGCACTGGGATCCCCTTTGGTGAAAATAACGGCAACGACGTTCATGTTTGTAACGTGAAGTACAAGCGATGGTCACTGCTCAACTGCCGTGGGAAGAAACCCAATAGAATCTATGGACAGGTAGCCTCAGAAATTAGTTTGAAGTTTGTTATTTATTTCTTGAAAAACTGTACAGATTGGTTGTAATGTATTAGTGTTTCAGAGTCCAGTTATTAGATATTCAAACTTTTAAACTGTGATTACACAGAACTACCATGTACTAGGCTGCTATTTCATATCTTTTCTCCTCCAGGCAATGGTCATTATAAACGGCTTCCTATATGTGTTTGGAGGGACCACGGGGTACATCTACAGCACAGACCTGCACAGGCTGGACCTGACCACCAGGGAGTGGATCCACCTCAAGCCCAACAACCCGCCTGACGACCTGCCTGAAGAACGGTATGCTTATAACAAAACTAGGAATCTTTTCATTTTTTGAAAAAAAAAAAAAAAAAAACCTTGACATTGCTGTGTGTGTGTGTGTGTGTGTGTGTGTGTGTGTCACAGGTACAGGCATGAAATAGCACATGACGGACAGAGGATCTACATTCTGGGAGGGGGAACTTCCTGGACATCTTATCCTCTGGACAAGGTAGTGCTGGCAAGGATTAAATCTAGCTAGACATACACTTCTTTGCTTGACTATGATAAGATGCAGTTATTAGTTAATAGTCACTGGTTACTATTTTTGTACCAAAAAGTAGTGGAATGTAGAGATTGAAGCTTGGCACAACAGTGTTTCACAGTATTACCTACAATGTTTTAAGCAATGAAACCAGGCATATTCATTTTAATCATTATTGAAAATGGTCAGTTAGACTCATGGTATATACACTGTCATATTTTTTATTTTCATAGGTGCATGCATACAATCTGGAGACCAATTCCTGGGAGGAGATTACAACTAAACCTCATGACAAAATAGGTCTGTATCCTGCACTCCATTATTAACTTTTGTTCTCGTGCACCCAAATCTAAAATGTTTGTGCTTTTCACAGGGTATCCTGCTCCCAGGAGATGCCATAGCTGTGTGCAAATACGAAATGGTGAGTTTTTCAATAATGATGTGCAGCCAAAAATCATACTTGATATCACATCCTTATATATTAAATCTTCAGTGTTAAGTTGGTTTGAAAGCAAAGTAGCATCTGATCATTCATTTTTTCTCTGTTGTAGATGTATTTATCTGTGGTGGCTACAATGGGGAATTGATATTGGCTGATCTGTGGAAGATCAACCTGCAGACTTTCCAGTGGAGTAAACTACCAGCAGTGATGCCTGAGCCGGCCTACTTCCACTGTGCTGCTGTCACCCCAGTTAGTACAATACTTCCTTTTCCAGTCATTCTGTGTCTAACTTTAACTGCTGATGAAGTTAGTTTCTGCCGTAAGCTCTATATTTTATATAAAATAAACATCTTTCTGTCTTTATCTAGGCTGGCTGCATGTACATCCATGGTGGTGTGGTGAACATCCATGAGAACAAGAGAACTGGCTCTCTGTTTAAGATCTGGCTGGCAGTGCCCAGCCTGCTGGAGCTGTGCTGGGAGAAGCTCCTCAAGGCTTTTCCACATCTGACTTCACTCCCCACCATGCAGCTGCTCAACCTGGGTCTCACACAGGAACTCATTGAACGTTTGAAATAAATCGCACAGTGAAGGACAGATAGCGGAATGGATGAGATGGGCTGGGCTGGAGTGGGAGGAGATGAGGTCTGACAGAGCACAGAAGTCAATTCACAGCAAAATTCTCGGGAAAATGCCCTCTTGCTCCCCCTGCCTAACGTAGCCCCGCCTTAAAACCAAAAACAATGGGATGCCTTTTTTCGTTGTTTTTGATCTTATTTTTTGCAGTTCCAGTGATGATAAAGGAAATAAATGTGGAATGTTTTATGGATTTTATTCACCACCACCACCACCATCCCTGTTACTTACATGATGCCTTTGTGTCAAGCTAAGTATGAATTCCTGCTTCTCATCAGCCAAACTGTGACCGCTGGAAATACTTTATTTTGTCATGTCATGTTTTCAAAGACGGTCCTCTCCTGTTATTTTAAAAATCCACCTTCTCTAGTACTTTTAAGAATTCTGTGCAAAGGAAGAATGCATGTATATTTATTTTGAAGGACTAAATCTGTTTTTGGGGTATCATGATCACCTGATATTGCTGTTTGCACACTTTGTCTTGCATATTTGTAGGCACTTACTTTTTTAATATATCCTGTAAGCAGGTTTCAGTCTGAAAATTGGCAGAGAGTGGTTTTACTAAAGGACCATGCCAGTATTTTTGTGCATTTTAGTCAATTTAATACAGATCTCATATAAATTTAATCACTGTTGACATTCTGTAGTGTTTTACATTTTGAAACTGTTTTTGTGACTTTCTGGGCAGCCTTTTTGTTTCAGTTTTCTCCTCATGGTATGAAAATTAACTTCCAACTTGCTTGAGTTAAGTAGTCAACCACAGAGATTTTCATGTCTTTTTTTTTATTGTTGAAGTTACATAACTTTGACATAAATAAAAACAGACATGGTGTTCACTGTGTGGGATTACCAATCTTAAACTTCAAGTCTTTCCGAGTTTTTTTTTGTATTATATGAATGTAAACAAGTGTCTGCCTGGAGGTAAGGAAAAACATAAGAAAAAAAAAAACTAAGTTATGTTATGCCTTGAAAATGGTCATGAGTAATATATGTTATTTGTGGTAAATTGACTAAAACGTGAAGAAAATGTTAAATGCTGGTTTTGCCCATGTCTGAGCCCCTGTATCTTCCTGTTTTCTATTATACATCATGTTGCAGCCTAGCCTGGAGAATTATCTGCAAAAAAAGTCAGGTGGGTATCTTCAAGATAGTTTCCATCCTGTTTGCTCGCAGCTCTCATTTGTAAACAAACCCATGCAACACATCACTGTGAATTTGGTGCTCTTTAAACTTAATTTAAAATGCTTTTATTCGAATAAAGACTTAATTCTGTTCAGACGTTTACTCCCTCTCTGTTGATGACATTTGAACTGGTTTTGTCACAGGGAGTCGCTTTAGTAGCAGGCTTATACAAACATTTGTGTATACTGCAGTGCCTTTCAAACTTTTAATGAGGTTGAAATTTCACCAGTTTAGGAAGTATAAGATCTTTTCGTGTTTAGACAAACAGGTTTTATGTTGAAAAATCTTTGTTTTAGAGTAAGTGAATATTTTAACCAGTTTTAACAGTCCAATCATTACAAACTGTATAATCACTCAACATGTTGGCCAAAATGGTGATTTCTGTATACCGTCTTAATGTAGAAGACTTCCTTCTCTTCCTGCAAACAACCAGACAAAGTAATTTGCAGGACAGGATGAAGCATATTTGAAGGTGATATGTTAATTTAACTGATGCCAAATAATGTTGCACCTAGAACAAAAGTATCGTTATAATTATGAATGAGAGGTTACGGCGAGATGTTAGATTTTCAGTCAGGACGGGCTGTTACCAGATGTTTTGATGCCTCCCACAAACGCATGAATCTGCCTGCACTTCTTTACCATACCCCTTTATTTATGTTCTGCATTACAAACTACTTGGTGCATGATGTCATTTCCTGCTTTTTCTATTAACATCATCAGCTCTTTACTTTGAGACATAGATTTAAAAAGGTGACCACTTAAATGTTGTATAGTAGACCTGTGTGAATGTTGTGTTGGATTTCTGTCAATAAAAGTGTTCTGTAAATAGCCCTCTGCTCCCACATTTTCTTTGCTTGACTAGTAACTGGCATGATACATAACACAATTACAGCCCTATTTGTTTACCATTATTGCATGAATTGCTGTTGCCACATTTTTTCTGAAAATGCACACTAGATAATTGCAATAACATGCATGCCATTTGTCCTGTTAGTTGAGCATACTAAATGTGCGATAATGCCAATAATGAGCATTACAGAGTGAAAGAAATATATGGCAGAAATGAAAATTTGATAGAGTAGAATCATAGTGGTGCACATTGTTATTTGCAAAAATCACCTTATTTTTTTTATGAATTTCTTCATTTATATGGAGGTAGATTTCTTCCAATATTATTTGTGTGAACAGATCAACAATCCATGCGTAAATGTGTAATCTGTAAATATAAAACACCTTCCACACTGTGATAATGATGAAGATCAGTTGTAGACAGATCACATTTCATACCCATCCAACACAATAACTATGTCATATCTTTACCATTGAGTTTACTGTAATCGTTTGCTGTTTACAACATAATTGGTATTTTCTTCATGTAGTCTATAATCAGTTGGCAATTGTAGTCATTAGTTCTGTGCAGTCAATAGACCAGCCAACTTATCTCTTACAAGTAGTTATTGCAAGGCTGGCCCAAGGCATAAGCGAATTAAGCGGCGGCCACCAGGGGGCCCCCACGAGCGCTTGAAATGCCCCTCGAGATTTTTATATAAGTAATTTGATTGGACGAGAGGCATCCATGAGTGCTGACATAGAGTATAACAGCACAGGGACTTTTAACTACATGTATCACTCCGCTTTACAGGTGTTCCGTTAACCGTTAATTAGCGTTACATTAACGGTCGTTATCTATCTAAGATGAATATATTTTCAGAAATAAGATTTGAATTAAACTATGTATGGTAGTCAGAAGATGATGAAATGAAGATATCTGGATATTAAAGCGCACTCCTAAGGTAACGTGTAGACAAAGTAGCAAGCTAATGTGCACTGTGCAGGTCAGGAAAATGTTTACTTAGCAACAGTCCAATACCAGTCCAGTTGCGGAACTATTTGTGTTGGCGTAGCCAAATAAATGATTAAATAAACAAACAAATCATAATCTCTTGTTGCTTATTTAACTAATATGGCGCTCGTAGAATTGTTGTATAATGCAACATCACACTCGAGGTCGTGATGTACTGAATATCAGCAATGAATATGACTTTTTATGTCTTACTATACTATGACTTTTTTTTTAAAGACGTTTTTATACCTTAATATAGTATATCCTTTTTATGCCTTCCTATACTATGACGTTTTATGCCTTATTATACTATGTCGTTTTTATGACTTTTCATGCCTTACCATACTATGACGCTTTTATGACCTTTTATGCCTTAATATACTGTGATATTTTTATGACGTTTTATGCCATATTCTATGACGCTTTTTTGGCATTTTCATGCCTTACTATAATATGTTGTTTTATGCCTTGCCATACTATGACGTTTTTATGACCTTTATGCCTTAATATACTTTGATGTTTTTTTGACTTTTTATGCCAAACTATACTATGACGTTTTTTGATATTTTTATACCATACTGTACTATGTCGTTTGATGCCTTACCATACTATGACATTTTTAAGACGTTTTTATGCCTTACTATACTATGTCGCTTTTTTTAAAATCGTTTTTATGAGTTTTTATGCCTTACTACACAATGACATTTTTATGACTTTTTATTCCTTACTATACTGTGAATTTTTTATCCTTACTATTCTATAACTTTTTGTGTATAATATATTTGCTAGCCCTATATGTCAATATATGATGTTGTTCCAATTTCTAACAGGTTTCAAGTGTAATTTTTACATATATACATATATATATACACATATATATATACACATACATATATACATATATATACACATACATATATACATATATATACACATATATACACATATATACATATATATATACA